TTTGTGTACGCCATTGCATTTTGTTGATTTGATTCGGATTCTCCGTGTATACTATTGTACCATAATGTTAGTTTACATCTCTACCTTTTATTCGTTTTTGGTCGACCATTGCTAACAAATAAAAAAGTGAATCGGCCCACAGGACAAGTTCTGACGACCAGGACCGGTGCACCAGTGTCTCAGTTCTACGAATTCAGGGTTGAAGTAACTCACTACCATCTGTCCCTGAAAATACCAAAGGATACCAGCCTTTCCGACAATTATTCGCAGAATTCATAGGAGATGTTTCATATTTCTCGCGTCGCCCCATTCCTTGTCGAGGAGATAATTCAGAATCACCTACAGCCACTTTATTGTGAATGGATAAGTTTCCATGCAAAAGAAGAGGAAACCAGTCGAACTAAGACTGCAATACCGTGTACTGAAACTTTTGTGAACCTACCCGTTGGTTGCCTATCCCTCGTTAGTTTCTCTCTGGTGAGTAGCTACTGATCAGGGTTTTGAGTTTATAAACAATTTGCAGTCCAATTTGTCTCAGAATTTGAATGTGCAGCATTCCAGTCTGACGATCTAGAGATAAACAAGTCATGCCTTTTTTTTATAGGGGTTCGCTAATTAGTCGGTTATGTAACATCGGTATGTATGGGCGGGTACGATCCGGATTTTGCGAACTGAGGGCACGCATAGTTCCTTGTGGTTTGTAGCTTCACGGATGTGTCCATTGATAACGTGGGTGGGAATCAGGCGTTTTGTACCGCGAACTACTTGTGTGGTGCTTTTGGACGAAAGGAATTCTCTACGAGTTTACAAAGACGTGCTAATTGTATCACAATTCCTGGATTAGCCATAGTTTTTATCTAGAGGACAACTCAGGATTTCCGTAAATCCACTGGTCTCGGTGTGGTACAACTACATATTTGTATGTCTTTTGAGTTCCAAACCTGACTGACTGACTATCGGACGTACAACCGTACAACTGGACAATAGTACGTGCAGTAGTCTTAAAGGTTAGAGACAAATCTGGGATGTTTTTCTCATATTTCTTAAGTGCCGCGGGCATAACATTCTTTGTTGTAAGATCCTTTTGTCCAGCAATATTCGATCCCTGTGTGAAGGCTAAGCCTTTCCGGTCACCGCACAAATCGCGTAATTGATAGTCTGCTATGCCTCCACCACGTATATGAATGACCCCCAAAAAGTATGGTTTATTGGCTGTGGAACACCAATTTCGAAGACTTGGGCTTCCTATACTGTCTTCCCCTTTAAGAGCGTTTGTTTAGCATATGACCTGATACTACAGACCTCGAAACCGAATGGGTCCATTCGGTGGTTGTAGGTAGTCCTACCATACAAGAACGAATAACGCATTTGAAAGTAAGTATCCATGTTACAGATAGCAAATCCGATAGAAGGCGATAACAGTGACGTTCCGTTGGTAAAACTAACGATCGGAACAAATATTTAGTTTCTGCCCGCATTACAATCATCAGCTAGTCTTAACGTCTTTCACACTATTCTGTTAGTACCCGAAATTCAGACACCAATGTTTTAAACCGTTATTACCCTGACGTGAGTATCATCCTCACATACTCAAATCCTGGATTCCGGAGAAAAGCTTTCCTGATGGAGGTTATTTTATCTGCGGAATGAATTTTAGGTGCAAAATCTTTGTTCTCTGCGGAAGGTCCATCCTATCTTCAGTCCCATACGCACCGAGATGCGCCACTAGATTTGTCACTACAGTGCAGTACATGAGACCTAAACTTTTAATCCGCTCCTTTGTGGTCTGTTTCTCAGACTTTGAAGCTCTGGCGTTACCTCAGGCCAAGTGCTGATTGTATGACGGTCTCAGGCTACCTTTTATAAAGTAGCTTAAACGACTGGTGTCACTGACTTTACATCCTTGTGTATCCTTGCGACATGTGATGTTTATTTAATATTGTGCTTTGACCCGATGAAGAAATGCTGTCTGCATTGTGTAATTCGCCTCCTAAGGTTTTTAAATAATGTTGGCGACCAACTCGTCACCTCTTCCGTCCTTATTGTCTATCATTTCAGGGGACTCTTATCAAGCATATGTGCGAGCAGAAACTCCACAGCGACATCCGTCCGGCTGATCGGCTGTTGTATCTTACAAATGTGAGTTTCGCAACACCGTACAGCGTAACAGCTAATCTCCCCTTTCCCATTTATCTATATTCATTTCTTGAAATTGGTGGACACTTCGACTTTCATCGCTTGACATTCAGCTATGGGCTCGTTTTCTAAATTTTTGGCAACGCTTCTCTGAACCACTGTGCAATTGTGAAAAACCGACGGTTTCAAATGTTCATAGTGGTCGCACCGGTCCCCGTTCCGGGGTTTTCACTGCTTGATCTGAGTTATCTTTATTGTACCCTCACTTGTGAATGTTTCATATGTGTCTGGATCGATGAACTTACACCTGAAAAGTTATCAGAAATAATTGACCGTACGACCCTGCTTGCGCATGTTGCAAACATTGGAAGATTCCTCAAGCCATTTCTCGTACAACAACTGTGTGGTTGTTCCTCTCTGAAAACAGACCTTCGGACCTAGCCAGATTGCTTTGCCATGCGGGAAATCCACTTCGAAAGAGGCTCGTTATTTTGGCCACGAGTACGTCCGGAACGTTGATAAATTTGATGTTTGATGATAGAGTTTTGCACAATACTCGCACCATATTTCGCTGAGTCTTATAAACTAAGCACGAAAAAAGTTACCAACGGACGGGATTCACCGTCAATTTTTTCTTCAGCAAGCAAATCCTTGCACAGCCACGAAAAAACTTGCGATACAAACCTGTCCGCACAATTCGGATTTCCGTTTTGCGAATTCTGGCTCCCAGACAAATTAGAACAACCGTTTTCCCTAAAATGGAATCCGTTTCACTTTGTTTGCAACGGATAATATAATCATAGTTCCTGAATCAGGAATGTGTTTAGAAACATGCGAATGAAAACCAGATTTATGTAGGTGTTTCTTTCCACTTTTTCCAACCATATGTATCCTAAAATTTGTCTCGGTAGACTGGCTGGTATCTAAGACGTCAAGTTCCTCCATTTGTACAATATACTACTTATAAAAATAATAAGTATACGGTTGTTGGTTGCATGTCTCATCACTAGCCTGCGGAAAAATAGATACGCTGGAATCCAGCTGCCAGACTGGTCGAAAATTCCCCTCACTCCAATAGAGAAATTCCGGTGACCTCTGAAATTGATATTTCCTTCCGGTCCAAAAGGGGACAGTTTGCCATACGCCCATACATAAACGAATCGATAGATAACATGTGATATGGCGAGCGGTAGTAGAAGGGCATGATCGCAGTTTGAAGAGGAAAACAGGTCCGACCGCACAATATGTATGTCAAATGGTAGGTGTCAGTCGGGGGTTGACGGGGCCGGTTGACACCGTCCTGTCCTGTTCTTAAGCGCGGAAACGCCAGTTTGACTAAGTAACTACATCCATTGCGTGGCTGTTTCCCGTTTATAGCCTAAGGTTAACAGTGTACGATCCGAAAACAATAGTGTTGCCTCAAGGCATTCTAGCTCACTTCTGCAAATTAATTGCTGCACCTTGATCGGTAACTTACGAGCCCCGCCGCTGCAGTTTCGCTTAGGGTAGATGGAGCTGCGAATGGTATTATCTTCCGGTCTGTGCACTTCAATATCTTCGGAGCTAACCAACCGTTGCTTTTGCAATCAAAAACAGTTTCACTGGTGAGGTGCCTTATATCGGGACCCGAATACCGTCAATATATCTAACGCAGATGGTGGGGTTTTGGATCGTGGAATATGCTACGCTCTAAACGATCAATGAAAACCATTGTTGGCCTTTTCATCGAGTTAGTGAACAGGACTCAATGAAGCTGTTAGGTTTAGTCGATAAATTCCCCTCCTGCCTACATTCACATAACTTTTAAGAAGTATCCAAGGTCCAGCTTATTTGGTCGATCGCGGGTAGCTCTCGTAGCTTGTTTGGCCGGCTGGGAGCCTTGGTCCGTTTGTGAACTGATATATCAAAGGAGACATGTTAGGCACGTACACAGATTGCCCAAGATCAGTTAGTTCCCTGAGAAAGATCGAGAATGGTTCAGTTTGCCTGAGCAATTGCTTGTGTAACGGGGAACGAATCATCCTTACTCTTGTTTACGGGAGTAACGGGAGTATCTTACTGTCTATTCTAGTTAATTGCTTACATGTCTTCATGCCCATTTGTTAATAGGTTGGGTGGATGATGTGGAACTGGTTGGTCTCTGTGCTTGCCTTGGGTTGTTCTGCTGTCCTCTACGAGGGATGTCCTTTCGACTCGCGCTTGTGGGCTATGATTGACTCTCTGGGGTAAGTGGATTAAATCAAAGTTTGCATATCTCAGTGTGTTCCTAAGTCCTCCATTTACTAGGTGTGTGGAATAACGATTCAAATGATCTTGACAAATTGCTGTAACTTCTACGCTTGTCAGTTGGTTTACTCCCAGATGTATATTTCGGTTTAGCCGCACTCTTAACTATGATTTGCTTTCCATGGTCCTTGCCCGCAAAGTGGTCTATGCTGGATAGTAGTGTACTGGCGAATTCCGGTTGATTCCAGTTGTATCAGACGTGATATCCCCCTCGTTCGCACAACAATTTGTTGGGTGTGATCATCTGACTGTTTAGAAAAGCGGTCAACGTCCTTATAGTTACTATAGTTTTTCTCCAGTTCCAGTCGTACTTCTAATCTGGACGGATGCTCTATTTTATTACACGAATATATTGACTTCAAAATCCCGCCTGCGTACGATTTGTGTGATGAATTCTTGATAATTCGGATTCAACAGATTGTTTGTCATATTGAGCATTTTCCGCGTTTAAGCTGTGCGTTCCACCATCTAGATTTAACAATGGTATACATCTTGAGATTTATTAGCTTTCTGTCTTTGCGAACCACATTACATAAATTCCTGTTTATGCTTTTTCTTACATGCTTATTTACTTTTAGTGTCACGGCGCTCGGTACAAGTGCCAAGTGGTTGGCTGTCCTTGAAGATCGTGGTTTAAAACCCGGTTAGTTGCAATGTTTACTTCGTTTTTCATTGGGTTGCCAATGAACCTGTTTGTCTGCACCTTCGGCAGGCAAACATACACCGAACACACCAGATTCGTGCTGCTGACAACCCAGAGAGGAATCAAACCAAGTGGACTTCCTATTCAGACCACATTCCTTATATTCCTTTTAGTTTTGTTGTTTGATCGTCTCGTAACCCAAGGAAGAAAGTCTAAAAATTATACCTTACCAGCATCGGCCGCGTGGAGAACTGAAAGTCATCTCTTTTCTAATAGCGTCAGGACCACCATGTGGCCACGTTTCACTGTAGGGCGCACTTTTCTGCGGCCCTCTTTCAAATCACACATGATTTTTTTTAAACGAGTATTTACGTCATGTGTTCCTCGTCCAGTATCATGTGAACGACAGTTGAATGGTGTCATAGGCGATGTTCTAATTGGTTGGTTTGAAAGAATTCAGCCTGCCGATCAACGTTATGGCAAAACAGTTGATCATTTGGTTTGTTCGGTGACTAAATTAAGTCGATATACCCTTCGAGATACCCGTCTTATCGATGCCGCTCTGTATATTATTTCACCACATAGAACACAGTTTCGTTTTATTTGTGAGGCGCCAGTCTTACAAATGGGATGAGATTGCTCAGTGGTTAGAGCGCGAATTTGGTTAGAGCGGAATTTACTGGCCGGAAGGTCAGTGGTTAAAACCCGACCTCTGCCTCTCAACTTCTCCTGTCTAGGCTTGGGCAGTATCCTAGCCCTCGTGCTTCCTTCCGATGGCATGGTAGCTAGGCACCAAAAGTGTTGCAGCTGAACGAGACTCAACAATTTGTTGTGCTACTCGCGTAGGAGGCCCCTCAACATGGAAGGGACACTGTGAACCTGAATGTATCTGGCAACGGAAATTTGATTTCAGCATACATTTCTCTACCTCGATGTGAAGCTTACCTGTTGGGTGGGCAAATTATGTAAACCGTTTCCAATGTTTTTTTGCTCCCCGATATCTATGGACATTTCCCTAGGCTATTTTCCTGGGACGTCAGGATTTGTCATCAAAAAAGTAATTAGGGTGTTCGGGGTATTTAACAACAGTCAGCTAACTGATGCATACACCACTGAATTATCTTGATAAACCCACACAATAGTAATCGTTCATTGTTGGTTGGGTTACGTCGAATAGCTATTGCATGTGCTCCCCGGCTATAGTGGAGCGGGAACAAGAAACGGCTATGAAAACATGTAATTTAGTTCTTAATTTCTTGTTTTTGCAAAGTATCTATCTCGGAGAAGTAAAAAAGAAACAAGAGACGGTTTTGACCAGTGAACACATTTTTTATCATTTTTTTTAATGCGCTGCGAAAAATAATTTGTCGAAAACTTACTACCTGTCCCGGATAAGCGCATTGTTTGAGAGATGCGTTTTCTCAAAATTTCCAGATAGATGCATGTGGATCGATAATTCCCAGGAAGTGCGAACGATTCGGTGTGAAAAAACTAAACAGAATGACTGCAGATATGACACTTGATGCCTTGATTACGTACCATATGTTTGTTGAACACCTCAGCTTCGCTATTTCCAATGGGTAAACGCAAGTGTTTTCCAAAATAGCACCCTGCTAAGCTATTGTTCTCTCGGGTGGTGTGGCAGATAGGTGCCAAAAGGGTGTTCCAGCTGAACGGTATCGTTCGAGTTAAGTAGAGCCAAAAGGGCCCATCAACGTCGCAGGATAGTCTCTTAGTGCCATCAGTGATATCGACTGTTTTCCCGCAAATCTTAACTGAGATGATGAAAAAAGTTACTACCATTCGATGCGTTGTCGTGGTAACCGGAATCAGAAATTAATTTCTCTTTTTCGGTTCTGGAGCGTTATCTCCCCTGGTGGGGAATTCAGAGAGGCATCTCCCGACTCAAAATATGTTCCCTTTTGGGTGAAACACTTTTAGTATATCGCTTGACCTCAATGTGTGGCTCGCTCGGTGAACAGGCTGTTAAATATGAATCGGTTTGGAGCCTCGCTATCGGTTGACAGCTCTGTCACTCGAGGGAAGTACTGTGATCACTTTTCAAAGGACCATTCAGCCTAAGGAACGACCTTGCATCAGTCATCTTTGTACGTTTTTGCAACAGCGTTCTTGAATCGTCAATTTTTACATTATTCATCACAATGGGGTATACTTCTCGAGTTTTCTGTGACGAGATGAGCACATTCTCAATATGTTTGCTAGCTTTTCGTCGACCACGTACGTATGTTTGAACAACATTTGGACAGATATGTGTGAATAAGTTTCTCTATACATTCGCACTCAAGAAGTTCAACAGCCATTGACCTTGATCCTCTTGCCAACAGTTACCACAAGCCCGCTCATTTCAGTAAAACATTTGTAGTTCTAATGTGGACGGATCACTGCGCAACCGTAGCATGGTCTTCGATCAATTGCAACTTGATATACACTACTTTTCCACGGAATCATCCTGTTTTGACTTTCTGTTGGAGAAAAGTATTCCTCTGGTTGCTCCAAAACCTTTTAAACCTGATGAGCTCCCAATCAGGTGAAAAATACTTGGAAGCGATTGAGTGGTCAGCTTGACTTAGCAGATTGGTTGTCCTTCCGCCTTAAATCTCGACCAACCTTGGAACCTAGTCACTTGGCCTGACGAAGCTTTTGTGTCAAAAGCGAAACGTTGCTCGGCAATAAATCTACCGATTGTCACGGAACTTTTTCGAAAATTGATGCCCCCCTTCATAACCACTAGTTGCTAATGTGGAGCAAATGGACACAGCGGCAGGTGGGAGTAGCCGTGAAAATGAGCAGTTGGTCTTCGTTCTCACTACCATCAAGCCCTTTCGTTATAAATACGTGCCTATTTGTTTACGCTCTCGGAAGGTGCGTATGCTTTCTTTAGTCTCTGTATCTCTGTTCCAGCACCGACAACTTTATCTGATTGTGCTCCGTTCTCTTTCTCCCACTTCAACTCATTTCTTTCTTAAGCACGTTTCTTTTCTTCTTGACATCTAAGTGTTGTGATTTTGCAGTCGGTAAGTGTTCGGCCATGTTGACAGTGATCGGACGCTTTGATCAGATGCCAAACAATATTTGTATGCTCGGCCGCGAGTTAGTTTATGGCAGATACTACACAGTCCGTCAAATCCGACCCCAGATTGGAAAACAATGTTTGGGCATTTATTTTTCCACGGTCATTTTTGGCTATCTTTCTTTACATTTGCTTTGTCCGAGCCCTCCATCAGCTAGATTCCAGTGTTCATTCGTCTTTCACTTGGATTTTTTTATCAATGGTTGCCTTATTTAATCGTTCCTTGTACCTATTCGTATCGGACGTCAATACTACTTTAATTATTTTTGTGGTTTTATCATCATCATTAAGGAGTTGAGTGTTTGGAGGTATTCGTATGACCGCATTCATTTGCGTTGCACCGTTTCGGACTCATTCATTTCATTGTCAGCTGTAATAACCGCGTACTCGTCGTACAGTGGTTGTAGCTGCCGCAGTTTCGTTCACCGATGATTTGGGAGGGGGGTAGGTAGCTGCGTATTGCAGGCGGGAGCTGAAGAGGCAGTACAAAGTTGTCAACAGCAGCGATGTGCCTTACAGTTCAACTATATTGAACAGTTGAACATAATCGAAATGTTAACCGAACTAAGCGTTCCCGTCGCCATTGGTTGATTTTATTTGTTTCTCTCGCATCTTCGTTCCAGTCAGCATTCATTACTTATCATTTGCTCCGCTGTCTGGATGTAACCGTTTTCTCCGTCTTACAAATCATACCTTTCAATTAGGAACACCTGTTATGGATTTACCCAACACGTTACTGGTACGCATCGAAGCGGCCGCCTTTTAATCTCCCGCCAGAAATAGTTTCTTGTGACCAGACCACAGTTTTTGGTGGTTGAGAGTCAACTTTGAATCCACGGTATACAAAAGTTCATTCGCTTGGTTGTCGATGTTGTCTTTATCTATGCGGAATAGTCCCCTTGAAGTTTGTTTTGGTAACACAAACGGACTTCCATCCGCTTCTGCTATCTTACTTCTCTACAGCGGACTCATCTACGTCACTTTCCGTATCACTGCAGACGCGATTTCATACCGCTGTAATCTCCCAACTGTCCATTGATCTTGTTAGCATTGCATTTGTACTTATTATTATTATGGTGCAATACGAATCGACCTAATCCGAAAAGTACCCATTTACCTGCCCTAATCAAACGCCAGGGCTCCAATTGCAATTTTAGGTTTTCACCTAATTCTCTAAGCATCACATGCTTTCTGCATTTTTACCCTCATGTTTTTCGAAATCCGTCAAAGCTTGTCAACTAGGTGCACGTGCGAATAAAAGCACCAATTTTCCAGAATGCATGTATGCGAATCGACAGACAAGACGAGTTTGAAAGCGCAGACGAGCTGAATTTTACACCACAACATATGACAGTCATGGAAAGGTGGGGAATCGGTGATTCGATGACTATGAAAGTTTATCGGATACATTTATTTCCTTATTCGTTATCAAAGCCTACATACCTAGTCAAATCCTGATCTTTTTTGTGAATGTTTGTGGTTTGAATTCAAAGGGGTGTGCAACTGGACGGTGCAGACGCATTGATGGTTGTGCTCTCAGTTGTTCTCCATTCCGTTATCTCTGTTTAGACGCTGTTTAGACGCCTGCCACTTTTCCAGCTTTCTACATTCGTACTTTTGAGCCGTGGAACATGGTAATTCTTTGGTCGTAATTACGGGCTATCTCCTATTTAAACTTAAATCTACACTGCTTTCTAACGAAGCACAATTTCAGAGGGCAGTCAGAAGTTTATCAGATTACGCAAGAGCACATCCGCTACTCTGATGCATGGTTAATTTCTAAGGCGCTCAAACACCGAAGACTAATTATTCACATCCCCGGATTTATTCAGCTTAACTAATGGGTGGTGGAACTGCAATCAAAATCAATACCCTACGATTGTTGTCAAAGATCGAGAGAAGTGCAGTGAAAGTCTGGATGTTATGTTGGTGTTCCTGAGCTTGGTTAAGTTTGACTAAATGAAACCTGAGGTCAGCAGAGAATGGGACGCATTATTGGTACCAAAGTTTTGTAAAGACCCGTCAAACTCATCGTTTGCCCGAACTTATCATTTGCTTTGGTTGCTTAGCCAATCACCGAACGGTTGCTAGTCCCACATGTGCTTCAAACAACTTTGTTTTTTTTTAAATTGGTGTCTGTCAGGTCAAACCTACGCTTTGAAACAGCTGCGTACCATCTTCTCCACTGGATCTCCTCTGGCACCGCGCTCCTTTGACTTTGTCTATCGTGATGTGAAGTCGGACTTGATGCTTGGCTCAATCTCCGGTATGTTTTTTATCACGTTTAGGAAATTTTAATTACGCGGAACAAAGGATTGGGTTGTATCCACAATTGCTACTCGGTCAGACTGATGTGAGTTGTGTTGGAGGTTTTTGCAGAATCAAGAATTCAGCTCACTGTAATTGACTCCATAACGAGGAGCGATATTCAACCGTGTGGGAGCCGAATCACGTTTTTGGTGTAAAAAAAAATACACGTGATGTCCAGCTAGCTCAGCGGTTAGAGAGCGAGACCATTGTTCCAATGGTCCGTTTCGGTTGATCCTGACAGCATCTCACCCCCTTTGGTGTTGCACGACAGCCAAGCATCAAAAGAATGCCACAGCCGAACAACTTTTTCTATTACATAGCCCATAAGTGTTCGTCAGGGGATTCGAACATGTATCTGGTCACTTGTTTCCGCTGCTTGCTTATCTGTGTGTTGTATGACTTTAACATACCGGACAAATTATGCTCTTGCATTACTAGCCTTGTAGCATATCGAACAATGTCCATCGTATCTTTCAATTGATCGGTCCAATCCAAACTTCTGTGTGCATTTTTGTCGCGCCGCTATCTTAGGTCATATTATGGCAATCTACGGTGTTGTGTCAAAGCATATCAATATGTTTTGCCGAGTGCAAAAACATATATTCATGGATCCTACGAGCGAAGGTACGAGTTGAGCTTGCTGCTGTGTTAGATCGATGGAGCGTCGGCCTGTTTGCGTCTTTTTCCCGTAATCTTATACTTCCAGGTTGTCCGTCATAGGTACCAGATACTGCATTAATACATACGTTGCGGTCGATTCACCGTCTGTCACCATCGATAGAATTCCCGACACTCGGTCGGAAGATCGGTTAATACGACCTTCACACTTTCTAACAAAGGTGACCGCGTCGTGCTTTACACTGTTGTTGTTGTTTAACTGTGTTACAACCATAGATCGAGAACTGAGGTCGGTGGCATGACAAAAAAAGTTTGAACGAATCTATATGACGATTCGAACCGGGGGCCTTTCATTTAGTGGTTAAATACTACACCGTTGAGCCACATGTGACTGAGCTTCAGGCACTCTGACAGGATACAGTACAATGTTCGACGACTAACTTGAATCCCCCTAAAGATTTTTGAGGCGTGCAGTGCTGATGGTTCCCAACAGAGATCAAACAGCTGAGAAAAGCTTCTGAGCTTTTAAGCATGGACTGCCTTTGCTTACGCAACGAAATTTCTATCGAGACTTTCACAGTTGTATCTCTGATGTAGGAAAGTCGCATTAAGAAAACGACTGTGGCGGAAAAGAGTGATCTCGTGCACTTGTTGTCGGAAACACCACGCGCCACGAAACAAATTGAAAAATTCTTGAAACCAGATCGACATCACTACCGACGAGTTCACGAAGCTTACGGAGTTCGGTTGAGCGTTGCCATTACTTCTGATTTGTTGTTCACCAATTTAGGTATTCAGACCGCTCTATTTTTTCCGATCTCCGCAACAAGTTAAGGGAAGTTTAGATGCAGGACCAGTAGTTTACCACAACGTGTCTGCATGCACTCGAATATTGCTGTGAAAAGGTTTTGTCGAGTGGAATGTCACATCACAAAGGTTGAGGGGAGCGATTCTCTCCGGAATCCCGTATTACCTTACTTATGTCTCTCGCTTATGTTCTGTCTCCTCTTCCCAGGTGGCACCGATATGATAGGCTGTTGTGTTGGCTGCTGCCCTATACTACCTATCCACCGAGGACAAATCCAATGCCGCTTCCTGGGAATGGCTGTTGAATCTTGGGACGAAGATGGTAGGTTTACTTCTTCGATGAGTGATCTGATGTACCAAGCTAACGACAGTTTTTCATAGCTGATAGGTCAAAAAATTTTTGAAAGGTATCTGTATCACCCACTTACGTATCTGTTCACAGGAAACCCTAATCCAAGCATAACATTTGGATGTTTCATTAACATCCATTTTTACGGAGCCTACCGGCAGATCATCCTTGTCCTTTAAGCTTGTTGTTCTGGTCAGCTCGGCCCCGGTCATCTTCGGCAACAAACCTGAAGTGTGAGGTGATTTGAAGGGGACACTTCAGTGTGGCTTCTACTGATTCCAGTCATCTACTGATTTGATAAGCTTTTAGTGTAGTAGCGAATTTCGCTGACTTGGCGTCTATTTTCACTGTGATCTTCGAGGTCGAAAGAAACCAGCATATCCATATTTATAGAAACACCCATCCCTAAAAACCGCACACTCCGGAGTGTCGAGATTGGATGGTATCAAACCCAAACCTAATACCTTCAGGTGAACCGATCGATGTGGTAGATAAGTTCGTTCACTTACATAACCGCATAAGTCGCAGGGAACTGATGGAAGACGCAGTCACTTTCCGAATTGCGAAAGCCAGGATAGCGACGTAACATCAGCTCGACTGTCAGGGGCAGAGTATACAGTGCTGCAGTCTGATTATGCTGCTTTATGGATTGGAGACGCAGCTGCTGGGCGTGGAAGACCTTCGAAGGCCTTCTGTGTTTGAACATCGGCTCCTCCGAAACATTGTGAAAGTTTACCAGGGACATCATATCAGTAATGCTCAGTTACCTCAGATGGTTTTCGGGAAAGTCCTCTCTCTCGCTAGATCGACTGGTTACACCCCTCAGGTTACACTGGTTAGGCTATGTGCATAGTATTCCAGCAGACCATTTGCCTCGGACAATCTAGATGGAAACTGTCAACAAAAACACTACTGATATCGATTAGCAGCCATATCTTGCAGTGTCCCCAACCGAATGAGGTCGGGACCACCCGGAAGGCGAGTAGCACCGACAGCACCCAGACATTTCGTAATCCCTTTCATGCCTATCTGTCAGGTTAAACGTTGGCCACCTCTCTGCTTCCGCCACTCTGAATTGCTTACGGGAAATATCACTTTCTTCGGTAAACGATGGTTCGGCATGCGCAAGATATGCTGGAAAGGCATTATCGATGCGGCAAGCATCAGTATCCATGACCGCTGCTAGCTTTTTCTATCCAAACTGTAATGTGCCAAATGGCAGATCCAGAACAGTCCTTGTACTTGTTTGTCTGGGCTACGGTAATTTTGTAATCGCGACCACATGTCATTTTATTTTCAGCGCGTCTAGCCAGTTTGCCAAAGTATTAACTACCATCCATTTAATCCTCCACTCCTTCCAGGTCAACCGCATTGGGATCAAAAGGGTGAACTGATCATCGCCAAGCCTTTTCCCTCAATGCCAGTCGGTTTCTGGCGTGATGATAGCGGAAGCAGATACCAGGCGGCCTACTTTGCAAGATTTGGTGGTAAGTTTCTCAACTCGGATGTTAGAATTCAGGTTTATCTTTGGTTGTTCAACCCGGTCACCTTAGAGTGAGTTGGACGCATGCCAAAGTGATTCACTATATCTCTCTGGGCTCGAAGATACAAACTTCCTATTCTGTAACACTGAAAGATATATTGAGTTTTTCGTACCGTCGTATCCGCTTTCAGCCCCCCGCATCGCCCTTCTGTTTGGTCGTCACCGTAAACACTACTGTCTCACAGTAAGCGTATTTAAAGAAAACTTAAGGTTGAAGAAAACATTAGACACGGAAGAGACCATAGTCATACTGAGGTGTCTACCTAC